GATTTTTTTTTTTGTATTAAGCTTTCGTATTAAGGTTTCATCAAACAGTGACCTTTAGCTTGCACTGGAGCAAGTTTGTAATCGAGTCTGAAGTGACTGAGCTCAGAGTTAGCAGCTTCTCCAAATCTAAGGCCATGTGGATCTCACATGCACCAGGTTAGGTGGAGAAGGGTGCTGTGTTCTGTTCCTTACCTCACTTTTGGCCATGAGTTCTGGGTAGCGGCTGGACTTCTGCAGGTTTCGGGCTCTCCTTTAGAGATGAGCTGAGGATGTGGTGTCCAGCTGTGAGGAGATTAAAGGGCCAATCCAGGACATGCTGGAGGTACTGTTTCTCTCAGCTGGTGCCTTTGTTCTGCTCTCATTTTGTTGCCTGTTAAACTATGGCTAAAACCACCACCGTGGTGCAGTCATGCCAGGCTGTTGCCAAATAAAGGACTGTCCAAGGCTGCTGCGGTTTCATGTTGCACTCGACAGGAATCTGTAAGGTTTTTTTTATGTGAAAATTGGTCCTTGCAGTTGAATCCCTGGCTGTGTACTTATATTAAGTCTGTCACACGGCTACTTTGTTTGCATCGTCTTTGTTTTTGGAGATCCTGTCACATAGTGTGCTGTGCTACATTTATGTGGAAGACTGGCTTCAGGATGACAGTAGGTCTCCTGAAAATGAATCTGAGAAAATGAAACTCTGATGACTAACAATGGAGGACAAAGGTCCTTGTGTTTGTCAGAAAACCTGATACGGCCCACACACAACAGACATATTGTAAACACTCACACTCAGCTCAGCACAATGACAGGACTTAATGACAAAGGTACGTCCGAGGAGGAGAAACGGCAGACGAAGGAGGAAGTTGCAGCTGAGGGAAATCAATCGTTAATCTGCCTTTTGAGAGCCAGTCCTGATCACTTTATCTACAAGATGTTCTTCTTTACTACAGTGGCTCAAGTAACCACGGTAACCAGCAGATATTTGAACAATCTGTTCCTCCTATCTAACACACAGTAATCCACTTTCTCCCTTTGAATGATGTATCTTGAATCTTTATTACAGAACTTAAACTTCAGCTCATTTTACACGCTAACAGGTTGTAGCAGCAATCTGCACGAACAGTTTCAGCCAATGGTTTTTTTTTTTTGTACTTCTGTAGTGGTTTAAAAGTAACTTAGAGTAATAATTTTTGCTTCTTGCTTTACATCGAGGATTTTCTTTTCTTACATGTGTCCAGGAAAGCAGAGCTGCAGACCTACTGGGACTACAAGCAGGCCTCCCAGTCGTACCAGCAGGCCTGGCAGCAGCTGCGCAGTCAGGCATTCCCTCTGTGGCCGCGCAGTGACAGAAACCTCCTCCTCTTCCACTGACAACTCACTCTCGACAGGCTTGATGACAAAGCAGCTTTGTTGTAGGAGAAACTCAGAGGTCAAGGGTCGCCCAAGATTTGACCTTGTGAAACTTTGATTTCAAACATGCTGCAGAGAACAGAGAGGAAACTTGTCCTTTTAATGAAAGGACAAGCTTGGCTTCTTTAATTTGCGCTGTCTTTTTCCTCTCTTCCTGTGTGTGTGTTGGCTCAGCTGGTCTGCTGTGCAGGTTCGCCTCAGCAGGACACTCTGCGCTGTCACGCTGTTTGAAACTGTTGGTAATGCAGCACACACGATGGCTTATTTTCACAGTGCATGTCATGGCTCCAGCTGCCTGGTGTTCTTAAAAGCGCACAGCCATTTATACCTGCACAGGAAAACACAGCCTCCAGTCTCACTCCTAGTTTGAATGCGTCCTGCACTAAAAACATGAAGATACTCCTGAAGTCCCAGACTATGTCAAAATTTGGAATCAAAGGAATTGCTTTAGTTGGTTTATCAGGTTGAACTGGCAAACTCTGGGAAAAGCTTTCTAATTTCATCGTAAGGAAACGACCAGCAGTTACTTTCTGGCAGTGGTTTGAACCCTGCAAAGATGTTTTCGCACCAGTTTGTTAACTCGGCCTGTGTAGGACACATTGTTGTGAAGAAAAAGGTAAAGCTGCACATTTCTGCACAAACAGTTAGGTCGTTCATTCAGGACCACGGTGCAGGGACAGAGGATCAGTTCAGTTGGTGATGTGGCTCAGCTGATTCCTGCTATTTCCTCTCTGCTAATGACAAACAGCACATGGCGGCTTATGTCCAGGATGCCTTCAATTTTCTCATTCTTCAGCGATTTTGAGCTGTTTTCGTCACATCAATCGTAGAGATGTAGAGAACTGGGCTGCAGACATCAGTGCAAGCTCGTCTGTAGCTCAGGGGAAAAATAACCACAGGTCGTGGCATATGGCTGCCTCTCCCTGCACCTGGTTTCTTCCTGGTAAAAGGGAGTTTTTCCTTCCCACTGTCACCAAGTGCTTGCTCATAGAAAGCTGTGTGTTTTCTCTGTATTATTATAGAGTCTTTACCTTTCAATATAAAGCACCTCATTGTGTTTTGTGTGCTTTATTAATAAAATTGAATTAAATTCTTTATATCCTGTTTTTAAATATATGGATAGTTGCATAAATAAACCTGAGGTTAATGCAAGTTTTCGGTTGGATTTTTTTCCTTGGCATGAGGGGATTCATTGTAGTTCTTTTCCATTAGAGAGAAAGCTGATGTTTCCAGAACTGCACAATTCAATAATCAGATGAATAAAAGCACTAGAAGCCAAGGGAAAACAATATCAATCATATTTTAGATTCAAGAGAATCTTTTAACAGCTTCATAATTTTAGTCTGTGAGCGTTGGACTAATACAGAAAAAGCAGAGTTTTATATTTGAAGTATTGATTCAGCCCAGGAGGTCCGATTAAACAGACCTTACAGGAAAACTGAACCAGGGGCAAACGCTCACTTCTTTAGACACACCTTGACCCCTTTTGCCTTCAGAGGTGCCTTAATTCTGTGTGGCATTAATTCGACAAGGTGCTGGAAACATTTCCTGAAGAAAACCACCCACAGTCACTTAAATCACCCATTCTGATGCCCAGTTTAATTGTGCGCCTCTGCCTCGGACCCCCTTACATGATCATGTAGTGTTTATGTGTATGAAGCATTAAAAATAGGGACACAGCTGTGAAACTCTACAGTGCAACCACCAAGTCAAAGACCACACCGTAAATTTTACATTAGTTTTTATTGGTCAGGTTTTCCAGCTACCTTCCCTTTATCAGATATCTAAAATTGATTTATGTCTTTAAGATATGTTTTATATTCGTACAACACTGATGAAATAAGAATTACCAATGCATATTGCACAACATCAGACAGTGAACCAGCTTTGTGGAGCGCAGACATGAAAACTGCAACGAGGTCAAATGATGGGTGGAAACCAGCACCAGAAACTACAGGTGCAACTAAAAGTTCAGCCTCAGAGTCATCCATAGACGCTCTGCAGTGGACGGACAGGCGTAACTTTCAGGTGTGCAAAATGAAGCCAGTGCGAGTCTTAAACCTGCCAGCAGGAGGCATCTCCTCCGGCCATAAGTCTGTGTGTATGAAACGTCATCCTTTGGCTCCATTGGTCTTTGAATTTGTTAAACTTTTTAAATACAAGTTTATTATCTCAGTTAAAAGCTTGAAGTCATATTGAATGCAACGTGAGAGCTGAGAGATGAAAAGGCTGTGAATGCTTTGCAGACAAACAACACTTTACTTGAAGTTAATGGCAAAGCACGGCGCGTCATTTCTAAACGCAGGTTTCACTCCAGCCATGTTTGCAAGCCTATAAAGCTAAAGATAGAGTGGGACCTCCGTGTTTATTAACCCGATAGTTCTCCTGTTGTTTTAAAATTCACATTTAAATCTCATGACACGTTCAGAAAAGATTCTGTTGAATTGTAAGTTTTTCAATCACTTTATGTTGATTTTTTTTGTCACATTTTTAATTCATTTTTAATGCTGTTTTTTTAATCCTTGCCCCTATAAATATAGTTTTACTTACTTAATTACTTTTTTTAAGTAAAGACCTGAATACATCCTTCAGCCCTGGTTTTAAGTGTGTTTTCTGAGTAGCCAAGACGTTTCCGTTTTAATGACGATTTCATCCTTTCGGCTCTTTACTGTCCATTTTTTGAGCTCCCTAAAGTGAAATGATGCAATGCACTGAAGTGTAAATCCCAGTTATCACAGCTCATTAATAACACAAAAGACACAGCAGGACTCGCGCAAAACAATTTAATTACAGATCTGTGAATATTCAATTCCCAGTCACATTTCATGAGGGATGAGGTTTCCCAGAAATAAAAATCGCAAATAAATAGCGAGCTCTTTATTATTGTGGTTAATGAGCCCATAATTAAATGTTAAACAGGATTTAAACATAAACATTCACACGAGTTTAAATAGCTTTACTTTTTAATTAAATGTCACACAAGGACTCGACTGCACCCCAAGACACAGGTAGCAAAAATAAAACACTGAATGCTAAAATTTAAATATCGGATTAGAAAAAGAAAAAAGAGAGAAGTTCACCCACAGCTGTGAACTGCAGTCACCTCCCGGCCGCTCAGGCTTGCGCACGCTGGCTAAGACGGTAACGCGACACTCCGGTCATCCATGTTGCACGGTGACAGACCAGCACATGTGCAAATCTGAGTGTGCAGTGACAACAAAGTTGACAGGAACATGAAAACTCTCAGTGCTAAATATACACCGCAGCTGAGTTGCTCACACTTTAATTTCCCGCTCAACCATAAATCGATGGTTTTTCAACGTGATTGTTGTCACCTTGTCAACTATAAATAGATCAACAATCAACGATGACAGAACAACAGTGAATCAATGTTATTTCAATGTC